CTGTCTCTATACCCATGTTGTGACATGCTGTGCCTCTTTCGAGACAATTGCATCACGTTGTGTATGTATTCAGCGGGCATAGCGTGCATGCACGTAGAAAATGGGTATGTGTGTGTATATATAGAAAGACGGAAAGACACATGCACATCTGCACGAGGCTGCCTTTTGCATGTATTCGTAGTACATCTCTTCATGTACATATTGCGTGCTTGGGCAGACGGGCGTGTATGCGTGTTGTTTATACATACATGGTGACTTATGTACATGTCTGGGTCTGCGTTTATGTCTTCACACGTATGTTAACATATGCTAGCAAGTCCTTGCATTGCGCCTGAGGCCGCCAAGTCACCGAACTCTTTCAGCGGGCTGCAGAGGCTTGAGCAACAATGGACGAGTGTCCCTCCCATGATATTGCACTGCAGTGCCCAGGCCAGCCCCCACGATGCCGACGTCTTCGTAGCACTGGGTGTCATGGAGAACATCAACAGAGACTGGGCCACAAGAGTTTCAGACTGGTCGAGTTTGGTCAAAGCCAGACTGACGAAGTGCACTGTTGCGAAAACGAAGCAGCTTGAGGAGACTTCCCTGCGGCTGTCCAGGCGAGCGGTTGGTTGACGAGCCTGTTGTACTCAGCCAACTTCGACACGTTAGGCTCTTGCCACTGCATGTCGGCTGAGACCGAGCGATCCCACTGCAGTTGCCCCAGGGATTCGTGGCAAAGTGGATGCGCATTCTTCGAAGGTTTTGCAAGATTCTCATGCAGAGCCGTGAGCGGAGGTTTGGAACAAGCTCGGTGCCACTTTGGCAAACTCTGGCAAGAGTGAGCAGGCCGTTGCCAGGACCTTTCCATTGTCGGGAGGTTGGACGTGCCCTTGGCTACCCCAGCCGAGGTGGCTTACCATCAGGGGCTCGAGCTGAAGCCCAACTACGCTCGAAGTTGGCTCGGCTCTTGTACGATGCCTTCACGTGCGTGTGTCTGTTGCATTGTACAGTAAGTCTCAGGTCGAACATGGCCATCGCCCATGCCAATTTAGGCCATTTCTCTGGACGGCCGTGACTCTTGTTTCATCAAAATAACGAGCTGCGGAACAGGGAAGCACAAAGATGCTGCACGTTTGTACCTGCAAGGGTCCCAGCATTCCTCTCCGTCACCGTTCGGGTGTTGGTCCTGTGGTGCTGGAGGTCATCTTTAGTGTTGAATCCGGAAGCCACGCACATCTGGAACTTCTTACAGAGCGCCCAGACCTTAGCGTGGCACATGTGGCACAGTCCAGAGTGAAGTGCAGCCTGCCCGAGGCAGTGTTGAACATGAACATGGACAGTCAGTACGCTCTCGAGGCAACGGAGGCGGGAGGGAATAAGTAGGGGCATACCGTAAGGAATGGTAAGTCAAGGACATCTGTATGATTCATTCAAAAAGCTTAAAACTAGTGGATCTTTCCAGCTAGAGGCACTGTATCAGGTCGCTTTGTTTGCACACTCAAGGGTATCAGGGAGCCCGTGAAGCATCGACGAAGCTTACAACGAAAGAGGCTAGCTAGCGCACTCGCACCCAGACTGGACCATCTCAGACCCATTGTACATTCTCCCCCCTTGGAAGAATGACGGTTCTGTCTTGTTCTGCCAGCGTAAAGTCCGGGATAGTTGCCGAGACTCCAAGAGTACTTGGCCTGTGCTGCCATGCTCGGCGGTGCAGCTTGAAGGCCATTGAGCAGAGAGATCTGAAAGCAGCCACACAGATCATTGAGGGTGCAGCAGCCTCAGTGACCTCTCCTCTCTGCACCGGTGGCAAAAGCCTGAACGAAGTTCCGGGTTCGTTGAGTGTTGACCGAATTTGTTCTTTTCAGGTCCTCGATCCGGCAAAGCTGCCGAAGCCACTTGACCATCCCACCAGGCTAGTGTCCTTGGGTCGTAGACGGAATGTTTGTGGGGGAGTGTGGGAAGTCGAAGCGAGGCTTGCCATCACGGCAGGCATCCCCATGCAGAAGGTACAAGTATTTCCTGTTTGCGCGACAGGCCGCCTGATGAGATTCTGAACTCCATCGGGTGCGCCCGTGGTCTCTGTGGTACATCATTCCTCAGCTCTGCTTGGGTTTGCCTCAGAACAGCGAATTTCCCGTGCGTTCTGCAGGCTGTGATACCATCACTCCGCACTGCTGAGAGATCGAGCTTGTGATGGCTTGGTCCATCCAGCATCTTGCAGACTGTTGCTTGCCGCTTGCAGCCGATCGTTGGGGTGGAATGGTGTGGAGATAGGTTGAATATGCAAGGCTTGTCGCTTCCTTTTCGGTTGCAGAGACAGCAACGAGTCAGTAGGGACCTCTTGTAGGTTTGCTTTCGCGAGCTGCGCAAGGGCGCGGTCGAGTCGAAGTCGTTCCAATGTGGAAAGCAGATTTTCCGGGAAAGTGCAGCAGCGATGCAGCGCTGGAGTCATTCCAAAATTCAAGCTTTAGATACGTTGGAGACTGTCTCGCAAAGTTCTGCAGCTCCTTTCCGATGAGCTTTCTCTTGGTGTCGGCGGAGCGGCGCAAGAGGCCGCGCCAGCCCTGAGCCGTTGCCCTCGGCTGACTTCGTTCAGCCCTTCCGTACAGGAGCACGACGCAGGGTTGCAAGGAGCCAGACTTCAGCCAGATAGCTTGGCAGCGCATATCGGCATATCGCATTCGTCAGCTTTCAGTGGCAGTTCTAGTGGTTGTTCTGACTGCGCGGACTCCCGGTGCATTTGCGCGGATCAAGCACAGCTACGTAGGGCCGCCATAGGCCCTCTCCAGGCATCTCAGCAGCGATGGCAAGGCAAGCTTTGCTTGCACCTCCCACGCTGTGACCTACTTGTTACGTGGAGGCTGTGTATTGCATGCTCAGCTCTTGACCCCTTGGCTCTGACACGATAGCCATCGAGCGCTTGTTCACTTCGTAGTAGACACTCGCAACTTGATTTTTGGTTTCGCAAAGTCTCCACGAAGGTACTGTAGCAGCGTCGCTAAAATTATTGTCGCGTGTCTGGGCCAACATTCCACATGGTTGCACCTCCGGGCTATGATGCATTGCACTTCGGCTGCCTGCACGATGCCAAGTCTCTTGGCCAAAATTCAGGAGCAGCTCACGTATCTGACTGTCCCTGTTCACACACGTTTAGACGAGACGCAAGGTATGACTCAGTCGGGCGACGTTTGGCGACGGCTTCGTCTGACGGGGTGTCTCAGCCGCCCAGCGCCGCGAAGTCGCCCTCTCTCTCGCGAGATGCTGCCGCATGCCGCATCTTGAGCACAGACCGGTCTGACAGACACGAGCCTCAGGTGGTCCGGATTTGGTGTGCAGACAGCCACCAGATGGTGGCACAGCCCAGACCTTGGACGTTTGAAGTCAGGCGGTAGCGGCGGAACGGAGCTTCGTCTTTGGAAGGTTGCCAGCTCACCAGGCCGCTGTGCTGGTCGTGGGCTGGGCTCCAAAGAAGACCCTCCCTGCTGCTCAGTGAGAACTGCGGCATGCGCATGTGTTGGGCCACGTCAATGTAAAACTGATGCTAATGGCTGAACGGGTGGAAGGTTCAGCTGGTGAGTGGCGCAGCTGACGGAAGCATATTGCTGTGGCGAGAACAGCAAGGTCAGCCAAGCGCTCAGTCGTTGATGTTCGCAGTTTCGAAGAGGGGGCAGCTGCATCATCTAGTTCTGGGCAGTGTCAGCGTGAGCGGGTTTCAGGTGGAGCTCGGTGCACCAGCTCTCGGTGAGAGGGTCGGTTGTTGCTGCAAGCTTTCGACCTGCTGAGTATGAGTATGGTCTCATGTTGGCCGTCGCTGGAAGTGAGAGCCCGGAGATAGTTTTCATTACACGCAAGGAGGTCGTGGCAAGTCCCGTCCTCCCAGCCGGAGAGCAGTGGCTCTCGAAGGTTTTGGAGGCCCACACTGCAGGTTTGGTTGGCTTGTGCTGGGCACCGGCAGCCAGTCCAGCCACGCTGGCAGCCGGGCCGGCGGCGGCCCGAGCTGCAGCTCGAGCTCCCCTGCGACTGGTCTCTGCATCGAGTGACCGATCCGTCAAGATTTGGCGAGGAGACGAGAAGAGCGACACGTGGTCCTTCCAACATGAGTTAGTTGAGAGAGGATCCGGGCCGGCTGTCCGTGATGTTGCATGGAGGCCCAATCTGGGAATACCGTCCAGTTCTATCGCAGTGTGCTTTGAGGACGGACTTCTCCAAATATGGTGGCAGGATATGGACGGCCAACCCTGGAACGTTTCGACTTCCTGGAATGTGGGCGAGGAGGCTTTCCGACTAGCCTGGTCTACAGCCGGCTCTCTTCTCGCCGTGACCGGCTCAGAGCAAAGCCACCTCTTCAAGGAGGCAGGAGCAGGGCAATGGGCAAACGCCTGCCAGCTTGGTGAATAGAGCCAGGCTTTCAACGGCTCAGCCTCAGAATCCCAGCCAGTGAACAGCCATTCATGCAAGCCTCTGCAAGAGGATTTTGAAGCTGACCTGGCAGTCTCGCATGCCACCTCAACACTTTTCCTGCCAACTCCGGCATTCACGTACAGGCACCGGCCTTGATCGGATAGGCATGTCAAAAGCATGCACCGCCACTTGCACGATATCACGAACGTCAAGTTCAGTGGAAGTCTATGACATGCAGAGAGAGGGAGGGAGAGAGAGAGAGAGAGAGAGAGAGAGAGAGCCACACGCCTTGCAAGCAAGCAAGCAAGAGAGAGAGAGAGAGAGAGAGAGAGAGAGAGAGAGACAAACCCCCAGGAAAGCAAAGCGAAGAGAGAGCGAGACTCTACGCATGCTGCGAGGCAGCCGCAAAGGCACGTCGGCAGCACCTGCTTGATACTGAGTCGCTGTACGGTGGCCCAGTCAGATGTTGGGAATCAGGACACGGCTGCTTTCCGGGGATGCCGTGCGGAACGTCCAAATTGCTAGTGTGCTAGAAAGGCTTGTGCAAGATCTTGAGGCCACCATTTCTCTTGACTCCGCTCAGGTACGAAATACAAGAAGTTGATTTCAGCTCTGAGATGAATTTGTGTCCTTCTGAGGCCTCGGGCAAGCCGGAGACCATTGGTGTGCGAGCATATGCTGAATGCACGACAAAGCACGACGTTAGTATCTCTGTCCGTCGCATGTTGCCACATTACTCGTAGTCTCGCATGGTGCATTGATGTACGCCGAAGATGAAGGCTCAAAAACAGAACGATGGGTAGGCGGTAGAAAACACTCCGCCCGGGGAAGACTGGCCGTCCGTCGCGTGCGACGCCCAGCCCAAAACAGCTGTGACGAAACGAAGAGGTACGAACAGCTTCAACAACATTGGCAGAGCCTCCTGATACCCTGCTCAACAAAGGCGACGAACGCATGGCCCAGCCTCAGGACGACCAAAGTGGGAAAGGCAGTGAACGGCAGGTTCTTAACGCCTGAAATTCTTTCTCGCACATGCCTTGCAGTCCCCCCGCAAACTCCTGGCTCGGATCGCGACTCTCTCGGCACCTGGCCGAGATCTGTTCTTTTCCTCCCGTCCAGCCCGTGCATTGATTGCAGACTCTGCGGGAGCATGGCTTTTCCCAGCAGGCATTCGAACGTTTCATCCTGAACAGCAGGAATCAAACGGTACGGAGGACGCGGCAAGTGCAGCTCCATCAATTGGGATCCAGGGGGAAGACAACAGCAAGCTGCTGTCGCTCGCATTCCGCATGCCACCTTCAGGACTTCAGCAAGGACGTTACGGACGGCATCTTCGAGAGCATTTTGCGAGACTCTTCAGTGAGCAGCTCAGGTCTATCCGTGCATTGCCTGTTGAGCTGTAGTGGCCGATTGGGCCTAGTATCACCCATCTGAGGTAGCACCTGGCGAGTCCGAGGATGTGACAAAGCTTAGAGCGAAGGCACTGCCACACTACCGAACAATATTTGAACTGGCCCCCACCATGTTCCAGAAAGGTGTCGCAGCTCGAGACTGAAGTCTCAGGCGAGGGCATGCGCTTCTTTCGTTTGCCTGGAAGCCGGTGCCACAACATCACCTTGGCCAGGTCTGCAGCACGAGCTATCTCAACGCCAGGTGTGCTGCCATGTATAATGGAGTGGCTGCTACTGTACTGGCTCCGCAAAGCAAATTCAAGCATGGACTATACACGTTTGTTGACATTATTTCCAAGCATCTGTATCCTGTAGAGCATAAGTACTGATACAACAGTGAGGAGGAAATTAGGATGACAACGACCATTGCATCGGCCCTTGTCAGTAATTATCCGTCGTCAACAATCATCATGCTTGATATGACTGGCATGTCCCTCTTTCATCTCTATGTGCTGCTATATTATATGCGTGCACATACAGCGTGCTACAGCATCGTTGTCTGGTCCTATACCTCTGTGACTGCACACATGTTGCCTCGCAGATGCATGCTCAAGCGCACAGGAACACGCGTGCACACACACACACACATACATATTATATCACCCAACATGTTATAGATACATCTTCACCCTTTGCCGGTACCTACATCTACGTACCAATCTACCTACCCGCCAAGCTGCCTGCTTACCTACCTGCATATCTACGTACTTGAAGCCCTACAGCCCCAACTCAATGCCCACTAGCAATGCCCCTAAACGCAATCCAAGTGTAGCGGCGCAAATAATATAACTAGAACCGAGTTCTGGGGTGATGCGGGCGAAAGCCTGCTCTACTAAGATCACATAGTGAATCCTGACCCTACGGGTCCAGCTCGTCATTGTTCTTATTGCTTTGTGGTACCTGAAACGGATCCAACTTCCCTACACAGGGAGTCTTGGACCATTGGAACAAGCCCAACACCCTGCGGAGAAATCTGCGACTCCTCGCCTGTAGTGCTTTGGACCCACTAAACCCGAAACCCTGGAACATCTGAAGCTCGAAGCCTCGGGCTCCTTTAAAGGGAAGAAACCCCCAAAGCCCGCTAAACCTCAGCTCCCAAACCCCAAGAAGAACCCACAGAGTTCCTCAACCCAATGCGGAACTAGAGTAGGATGTTTGGAGAAATATCATGCTATATGGATGCAGGTTATTCCCAAACCAAAACCATGTTCCTACATTGCACCAAACCCTTCATGCTCTCTCCTTGAATATCCAGGCACAAACGAGCTCACACCGAAGATCCTGCTAACCGTTTGCAGGTAAGACCCTACAAGTACCCTCCTAAACGCCGTCAAGCCTTAAATCGCAACCCTAAGTCATAAAACCGTGGTAGCAACACGAGTCGCATGTAAAAGCATGCTCGGGATTGATGGGAGCTCGATTTTGGAGGTGGAAACACCAGTCGAACTAAAATCACGAACACCATCGTGGCTGAAGCCCGATTTCGTGAGCCGGAGCTGTTGGTGATTCGGCTTTTGGTGGTTGTTGTTTTGTTCTTCCTATCATGGTTCGCATTTATGTGTAAATGTGGTTGTGCGCTGTGGGCTCTTCGCCCCGCGCCCTCCCCCACCCCGCCATGGTATCCACGAGTAATTGCCGTAACGGTCACCGGCTGACCGTAACAGGAACCTGTAACAGGAACAGGGGCGATGGCGGTAACAGCAACAAAGAGTTTCCGTAACAGCTCCAGGAGGAGGGCTGGTAACAGGAACCGGCCGGACGACGGGAGTGTCAGCCTGCCTTCCCATCCAGACCCGGCAACCCCCCCCATCTCGAGGCGAGGGGGGGGGTTGCCATGAGCCGGTTTTCTTTCTTATATGTGGAAGAAGTCGTCTCGCCATTATACACCTCATGCATTCCGCTGGACCCCAAACCAAGGAGACACTTGCCTAATGTTCGCTTTGGGTCCAAGTAGGGACGGAATTCTATTGTTCTGTGCTTCTTGGGTTTAAAGATTACACCGACACCCTGGGCCCGACTCCCTGAGGCCGCTCCGAAGATTCTACTACCCTTTGAAATCCCAGCCCGCCAACCCCCCCAATTCGAGGCGAGAGGGGGGGGGGTTGCCCTGAGACTGTTGAACGGCGTGGCAGCCGCAGTTTCTGTTACGTGGTTTTCCCACAGCCGCGGTTGCTGTTACACTCCGGGGGCGGTTCCTGTTTCTGCCCGCGCCAGTTGCCGTTGCTGCTTGCTGGTGCGGTTTCCGTTACTGCCCAAACTGGTTCCTGTTACTACCCGCACCCCCATGTATCCACCCACATACAAGGGCCTGGAGCCTCAGTGGAGGAACTACCGTTCCAGAGAGGTTGGCGGTGGGGGGGGGGGGGGTATGATGGCATGCAGAACCGATGAGAAAGCAAGCCACTCAGCCATTCCACCGCCCAAGCCATTACAAAAGGGATGACCGAATCGGGGGATACCGTTGGGCGGAGCCGAGGCGCAACCACATGTAGATACAACCCAAAAGCATACTCACGTGTATCCGTGCGTGTACTCATATGCAAACACTCACATCCATGATTCCCATATATATATATATATATATACATGGGTACACCGGGCCCTCCATGTCGGCTTCGCAACAATGGCTTGTGAGTCTGCTACTGAGCCAAGTGTAGCTGGTAACAGCTTTTAGGGTCCAGGTTCTAGGGTCTTGTGAAGTTAGGGTTTAGGGCGCAGACAGATAATCAGAAGTGCCTCAGAGCTTTGCGGGGTGTGTACTAGTGTATTATTGATGTGTGTCTGTTTTTGTGCGTGTGTGCCATGATCAGCTGCTTGGCATCGAGTCGAACACACATTGTCGGAGCACGTCTCTCCTCGTCGCAGAGCTTTCGACACGGGTTTCTCTTGAAGCCGGCAGTGCGGCCGAATTCTACCGCCTCCACTCACTCGCTCCCAAAGCAGGGTAGAGATGAATGGCTGAGGGCCCTCGGCTTGGTCGCATCTTCTACCATATGCACCGGGCTGCTGTGCAACTACCTGCAGGACAACGATGCAGATGTTGATTATGGAGACATCCACTACTGGCAGGCAAGATACAAGGAGGAATGGTACCGGCAACCGCACGACTGGTTGGGTACCTTTCAATCCTTGAAGCCTTGGCTTCCCGCAGTGAAGAAGACGGATCGCGTCGTACACTTAGGATCTGGAACAAGTTTACTAGCAGAAGACATGCTGGATGAGGGGGGGTGTGGTGAAATATGGAATGTGGATGTGTCTGAGTCGTGCGTGAAGGCCATGCAGTCCCGAGACAGCAAGCATCACACAAGGCTGCACTGGGTGGCCGGAGACGTGCGAGACATGCGTGACATCTTTGAGGATTCCTTCTTCGATTGCGCAATTGACAAATCCACGCTGGATTCTGTGTGTGACTGTAATCGGGATGCAGATGCTGCCAGGTATGTCTCTGAGGTGGCACGGATTCTTCGCAACTCTGGTGTCTTCATCGTCTTCTCCTTTTCACCCCCACCAGCTCGGTTGCATCACCTGCAGAAGGCTTTCCAGTGTGACGTATCAGTTGCCGAGGGCCAATGCTTCGTTTACACCTGCCACAAGCACCAATGCAGCTCATGAGGCCCGAGGCCCCGAAACCCCCAACCCAGGCCAGGCGATGCAGGCGACCTGAGCTGGCCGTGTGAGACGCCGGTGGAGAAGTTTGGAGCGAGGGAACGTGCTTTGCGGAATGTGCAGACTTGTGCGGCACCTCGGAACACCGCGGACGTACCGCAACATCGAGTCGTCGGTGCACAGCCAGCCAACTACCACCGTTCTGCAATCTTGTGGAAGCGGGCGATGAAAGTACATTGACATGAACCTGATGTGCCCTTCGTCCCTTCGTCACAGAGCCGACAAGAGGCTCTGGAGGGTTAACCATCGCCAGGCCAGCACTGTCGTGCCCGGAGAAGGCGAGCAGCTAAGCTGCGAGCTAAGCGGAGTCTCGCTCGTGGGGTCTGTGTCTTATCTGAAACGCTCAGGTTTCGCGGCAACAGCCTCGGAGGAGCTGCTGAGCTGCTGGCCCGAGCTTCTTTTAAGCAAGGCTCGCAATCGCAGTGAGCAGGAGCCTCCCCTGCTTGGAGCTGCATATCAGCAGATCTCGGTTCTCAACACACAGCCGGGCAGCCCGAGGTTTCGCTGTCGCATCGCATCTAGCGTAGCCCAGGCTAGCGCACCTCTACACGGAGCTCACACTGTCTAGAACCGAGGCATATCCGTTGTGCCCACTTCAGATTGGTAGTGTCACCCACGTGCCCTGTTCTATATGAATATACGATATATGCAGAGTCTGGCGGGCAGGCTGCTGGCCTTCGGGCCGAAAAAGAGCAAGCAGAGGCTGGCAGACCGGAGGAAATTTGTGTGCATATGATCCTGTGCCGATACAAAGCCGGGCATTGCAGGCTGGTGGCGGGGAGACTTGTTTGCACACAGACTGCCCGATTTTGAAGTTCCAAATCCCTGTATCCCTTGCAAAGTTTCAGCAGAGGCCAACGAGAAGCTCGCAGCATCAGAGGCGGCGGTTTCTGCAGCGCAGGCCGAAAGCAAGGACCTTGACATCGGGACTTGTGGGAATGTATGCCGTGGGATCGGGAGACGCCACGCACCCGATCTCTGCCTAAGACCAACGGCAAGCACAGCAAATTGCCGATCTGGTCAGTGACATTCGACACCTTCAGCCGCGCACCCAATTATGACCACGCACACCTTCAGCCTGCAAAAGCCCAGGCTGGACCTTGAGTACCACCAGCAGAAAGTCGACCAGCTTCTGGAGGCAACGATATGAGGTCACGCCTTCTGGAAGAGAGTGAGTTCGCTCTGCAAACTTGACAGGAGAAGCAGGTGGTCATGAAGGACATGAAGTCCCTGCAGCAAGAGGTGACTGAGGCCACGCCTTCTGCAGCGACTCTTCAGCAACAGACAGTCGACTGCTGGATGTTCTGAGGCCCGGCAGCAGCTCGAAGAAAAGGAGCAAGTCCTCAAGCATCAGGAGGTTCGCGACTAGCGCTAGTTGCTGCTAGTTCGTTTCAGTCAAGCTGTGCTCGAGGTGGATCTCATGCACTACCGTCAGCTTGAGCAGCTCCGACCTCAGGCCGTGTCAAGACCCGACTAGGATGCTCAAGACTTGAAGGCAAAGTCCTCGTGGAGGTAAAGACGGAGCAACACTCAGCTCCTGAAGGCAAAAAGCCACTGTACAGGGATGAAGCGCTGCAATTGACTCGAGGCGATGATGGCGTGCTGGATGCGTTGCGCACGGAGGCTGCTGCGAAGGACAGTGCTTGGAGCTCAGCAGACTCCTCCGAAGAAGACTCCGTTGCAGCAACAAGTCCGGCACCGCCTGGTGTCACAGAAATGTGGAGAGAGTGATTAGGGACTAGTGCAAGAAATCTTCGGCTCGAGGCGCTCATCGTCTCCCACTACGAGCTCCACAAGGCTTGAACGTACTGGAACTGGTCACACTTTTGCGAGTTCGTTCGCGTCGGATGGCTCTTTGTGCTTTTGCCAAGTTGCGCTTCTTGTATTCCTAAACGCTGGCTAGGAGAAGCTCATGCGAGATCGGCTAGAGCACGGCACCAAGATAGTGCTGCACGAAATGCAGCATGCAGTCCAGGCCGCGTGTGAAATCTAGGCAGAAAAACTTGAAGCTCATGGAGCGCATGCAAAAGCTCATGATGGCTTCTTCCTCGGAGCCGAATGCAAAGCTCGAAAAGTCTATCGGAAACCCTGGACCAGGTAGTGGAAACCATGCGCAAGGACAACGCCGGAGACCCGAGTTGGCCGTGGCTCGTCCTGCAAGTCCAGCTAAAGATCTCAAGCTAGAGATTAGAGGTCAACCTGGAGCGTTCACTCGCGTCGAAAGACCGGATGTACGAGGAGAAAGACGTTTTGGCCCAAGTGCAGCCATTCATCCTGCGGTAAGCTGCTCTGTATGTGTCCCGCACAGGCACAGCTCCGAATAATCATGCAGAAGGTTCGGCAACTGCAGAAAAACACAAAGGCAAGGACCCGACAGAGATGCTGACACATCGGCTGGCTCCGGCTTCTTTGGAATCCTGGTGCGGTCAGGGCAAACCCAAAGGGGCGGCAAAGGCCAAGGCAGGCAAAGTAAGATCAGATTGGATTCCTCGCTGGAGCTGGTTGACCAGGCACCACAGCCGGTTCTAGAGCTCGAAGGTTCCGTGCAGGCAGGGCCGGCAGCGCTTCAGCCTCTTTGCATATCACTTCCATGTTCGCACAACGCTGCGCAGAACTTGCCGCCTCTTGAGTCGTCCAGATACTCGGGTCCGGCATGGGTCCAAGTCGCCCTGAACGTCAAAGATGCGAATCTGAGTGTTCTTGTCTGGACGTCGAGGCAAGTGGAAAGCAGAGTGGTCGCTCCACTCCACGGGGTGGGCCTGAGCCTGAGGAATCTTAAATTAGACCTGGAGCTCGAGGTATTTTGAGGTTTTTCGCGGCCGTTGATGAAAGAGCATGAAAGAGCTTCCGGCAGGTCACCCTACACCGGCCGACCGTGAGAGGCACGGCACATCGAAGCTAAGACGGGCAGACGCCTGCGAAGATGTCACGCGGATTTGCGATGCGCGAGGCTGGAGCTGGCTTCCAGCGCGCGGCGGAGAAACGTCTGCTGCTCGTTGGCCAGACCCAGGGCAGCTGGGCCGCAAATCCATCGGAATCCCACGGCTTTGTCATCTTCATGCCCACATGTCAGGAGAGTCCCGAAGCCGGCGGCTCGCGATAACATCGGAGCTGCTGCCTTCTAACAATGAGTCTCACACACCAAACGTGAAATATGAGCAGATCCACGACACGCCGCATCCATTGAACCTCAGGATATAGGGGCTCGTTATAACCCTCGCAGTGCTGTGGCTGTGCTTTAAGTGCTTCCTCTTTGGAAGCCTCATCACTTGGCGCCGAAGGCAGTCCAGCTTAGTGTGACCACTCATGGGTTCCGCTCATGAAGAAATTGTTGCGTACACCGTCGTGCAGGTCTTCGGCTGTGGACGATGAGCATTTTTGAAAGCAGCAAGTTTTGAATCACGAAATCATTACTGTTCAAGCCAGAATTCGTCCATGTTGCACGCAAAGAGCTCGACTCAACTTACTCAACTCTGCGGCAGATGCATACTTGCTTCATCCGCTCACAAGGGAAATCCGCCACACCTATGCAAGTGCATTTGCATCATGCTGCATTCAGCTGCCGGTGATATCTCCGAAGGATCCGCCCGGCTGCTTTCCTTGCACTGCCACCCTCAGATGCCCCGGGTTTTCCAAGTCGGAGGACCTTGTCAACTTCACCTGGGCCTCGGCGATGTCGCTGAGGCCAGGCGCTGGTAAAAGCCCTCAGTGCCTCTTCTTCCGCGCGACCGAAGTCCACCCCTGTCTGCCTTCATGTCGGGTGTAATGCTTGAATCTGGGGCAGCTGAGTGCAAGGCGCACTTGCCGAGAGCTCGTTCTCGAGGCCATGCATCTGCCTTGTTCTTCCAGAACTGAATCATCTTTCATGATGCAAAGAAAGCATTGCCAAACCTCGGAATCGTTTTCAGGTCGTTCTTCGACGAGCACTGAAAGCAGGCGGAGATGGTTACTCCCTCAGCTTCGGACGACACTGGAGTTGAGAAATTGAGCAGGCCCTGACTCTAGGCACCTCCGGTTCAATGCCGTTGTGAAGCCCCCTGCTCCCCCAGGCTTAGACCGGCTCCAGATGGTGGTGGATGCTGCATCGCTTCGAGCTCCGGGGCTGCATCTTGACGGTGCGGCATGTATGTATGGTCAGGCGTCTGGCGTTCCCAGCCCCCCCCCCCCCCAATGGTATGGTCTGCTAGGGGTGGGGGGGGTGGGGGGCTGGCGTGTGCGGAAAGCTGCCACTGGATGGTGGGGTGGTGCTCGCGGCCAGGGCTCGCACGCAAGCCCTTCGCAAGCAAGCCGTAAACCCTATAACGCAGCGCGTGCTCCTGTTTTGAGTAACCTTAGCTTGTACTTCAAACCCTATACCCAACCCTAAACCCCACCTAACTGCAGGCTCTAAGCCTAAAGCAGAACATACACCGCAAATCCTCCCCAAGCCCTTGTCGACTCGAAGCGCTATACCTTGTAACCGTAAACCCAACACTCAAAAGCTTAATCTAAACCCTAAACCCCAAAACCCCACAACCACCTCACAGGGGGAAGAGGAACCCCACGTCCCACCCTATATCCGGACCATTGACCTTTGGGAGGGGGAGGGGGGAAAAATAAGGAAAAGGTTGGTTGTAGGGTTCTGCCCCCCGACCCTACATAGGCCCCTATGTCGTTTTATCAACATAGCTCACTTTAATAATATTTCGTTTTGTTGTCATCTTAATCAATTTTTTGTATTAATTTTGGCAAATTTTTTAACATATTTTATACAGAATTACCTTATGCATTTTCACATTAACGCTCCTCAAACGTTTTTACACAAATTTTCACAAATTTTTAACAATTTCTCAAAAAATCCCAGCCCCAGTCATCTCATTCATTTTAACAAAATTTAAAATCAGTTTTAGGCACCGCTAACGTTATAATTTTCTAGGTCTTTTTTCCTTGTAGTAGTTTTTTCATGTTTTTTGTTTCGGCATCTGTTTCATTCCTTTAAATTTAATCTCCTACTTCGTTTTTGTAATTACTCCTCTGTTTCATTCTCATTTTTCAAAAATTTTTTAAAATATTTATCAAAAAATATCGTCACCTTATTCAGGTTTTTTCGCCTCTCATTTGTATTCAGCTTCTGTCATGGTTTATGTATAATATTCTATATAAAATTATGTCTACATTTATAATAATATTATATATCAATATTATTATGAATGCTTTAATTTTCATCTTCTTCTTTATCAAATATGTCATTTAAATGTTTTTGCAGTTCATCAAGATTTAAATACTTAATATCATTACCTATAAAATTAACAAGAAACTCATACATAATGTTTTTAAACAATAGTTTATCCGGGTATGATTTCCTGTAATAGTCATAATGTAATATTAAAATATTTTCACGTCTAGTAACATGTTTCATTGTTTCCTTATTATGAAGAAAAGATAGTATCAAATCAAACTTATCAAAAAACCTTGTTCGTCTGTTCTTAATAAAAGATATAATTACTTTCTTATAAGGGTTATCACTTTTCATAAACATATTTACTAACTTTTGTTTTTTAGTTTCTCTATCATCATAAACGAAATATACATCAAAATTGTCTCTTTCTTTTAATATATAAAGTTGCTTTTCAAAATTTGTTAGTAAACCTTTATCATGTATATCAAATGGGTAATCATCTTCTAAGTTGATAAGACGATTACAACTATCACAACAGTTAAAAGACTGTATAATACTTCCTATTTCTTCTGGTAATATTTTATTGAATGTTTCCTTGTTATGATGTTTTCGCATATGCTTACACTGTTGGCACTTGCTATAATCAAATATGGTCATTTTCCCTACTATTCTAGGGCGTTTTTTCTTTAAGTAGTTTTTTACCATTTATTTATTAATTAACAATAATTCATGACGTAAATAACGTTTAGGTAATCCTTCAAGAACATAATATTTATTAAGTTGCATATCGCGTTCAACACTTTTAACTTTATAAGTTTGTTCGCTCCACCGGCTCCTTGTTTCTTTTCTACTTGTATAATTGCCACCGCTTTTTGTATAGATTTTTACAGTATCGCCTTCACTGATATTAGGATAATTTCTTAAATATTTTTCTTTCAATACTGAGTTAGACTTTACTGTTATGTGGTTATCGTCTTTATGTGCTTCATTAGGAACTAAACCAGTCGTTGAGTGAACCATTTGTTTATTATATTTATCTAATACAGGTTTTAACATAATTGTCCAAGCTCCTTGTTTATGAACTTGTAATCTATCACTTATCATCTTCTTTAATGTTCTTATCATTCTCTCGGCTACGTTAGCATGTGTTAGTGTGACATTATGTATAATTCCGTTATCTTTCAAATATGTTTGTAATATTTTATCATTAAGTGCCCCTTCATCATCACTATAAACTGATTGAGGATAACCCATTACCTTAAAACATTCCTTTAAGGCATTTAATACAGTTGGCCCGTCTTTATTTTGCATTGGAACTACATGACATTTTTTACTAAAATTATCAATACAAACAAAACCATATAATGGATATTCCTTTTTATAAGTGTTTGTATCCTTCATTAGACTAATCATATTCATCAAATCAACAGAATAAATTGCACGAGCAAAAGGAGCAGAAAAACTATTATATTGTTTATAACCGCTTCTTTGTTTTACTGATTGATTTTTTAACCATTCTTTAACTTCTTCTTGTGTGATTACCATACCTGCTTTTATTGCATCATCATATAAACTCTTAGCGCTACCGAAACCCCGCTCAATATCAAAATATAACTCAGATAATTTTGCTTCTTTACTCATCAATTAATATTATTTAGAAATTAAATAATATCAATTCCATAATAAAACTTTGTTTGCTATTTTATCAATTAGTTCTTTTTCTAACTTATCTTCATAATTTCTTATACATCTCTTTGTTTTTTGATGTTTTGATTTATTGGTTCCGCTACTTATCATTCTTCCACATTTTTCACACTCATAACATCTGTCATTGCTTTTATAATAATCTTTAAAATATCCTCGTTCTTTATTAAGCTTATTATGCTTATCATTTGATAACTTTTTATTTCGCTTTCTTTTCTCTTCATTGTTGGTTTCTTCTTCTTCTGGTTCTTCTATTGAGTTCCATAAGACATCAAATAAGTCATCATCAATGTCTATTTTATTTCCGTTGCCCATTACTAAGCATGTCATAACTATCTTATATATTAATGCTAGGTTTTCTTTAAGTATGTTTTTTTAACTTGTTATTGACCTAGCGCTTCCTCTGGAACTTCTGCTTCTAATGTATTCTATTGTTTCTTGACTTCTGCGAGAACTAACAACACTAATAGGCGGTGTTGCTTCATCTACATATTCAATAGTTCTATCACTAGGAACGGAACTTTGCACTGTTTCAACAGGCGAAGAATTAATATAATCACTTAATGCTTCTTCTTCAAGTGGCATTAAAACACTTCTGTTTGAACTTCTTATAGAACTTGAAGAAGATGATGAAGGCTCATAAGATTTCTTAACATTCATAGGTAAACTATTATCGCTCTCTTCACTTTGTTGTTTCTCTATAGATGGTTCACTTGTTATTTCTTCTTCTTCTATTTGCTCTCTCCTATTTCTCATTTCTTCTCTTTCTTCTTCAAACTCATCTTCTCCAAACATAGCTTCATAAACTCTCCTCATTACTGATTTATTTTGTGTTTTTTCTCTGTCTCGTTCTTGTTCTTTCTCATTACTTTGTATCTGTTTAACTTCTTCTTCTTCTGGTGTTTTCATACTTTCTGTTATACTTGGTGTTTCATTAAATCTATCTGTTTGTGTTCCTTTATCTGGATTATCATTAAGTATTATTGTCTTTTTATTATATTTATCTAAATCAAAATCATCAAAATTAACATCATGTAATAATATTCCTTGTTGTGTTCTTCTTTCCCTCTCCGGTAATACTTTTAATCTTCGTGTTCTTGCTTCCCTTTCAATTTGTTCAAATGTTGGCTTTAAGCGTAGCATATATTAAACATATATATTTTATACTGGTAAAAATGATTTTGCTAAAGCCGTTGCTCCAGCTTTTGCTAAAGTTTCAACTCCCGCTTTTGCTCCAGCTACTGCTATATCTCTTAAAGGTGTTGATGATGTGGATTGTGAAGGTAGTAATTGTCCTACTCCACTTGATGAACTGCCTTTACCTTTTCCTTTCTTCATCTCTCGCCATTCTATCATTCTCTTTTGTAGTAATTGGTCATTTACTTTTTCTGTCCATTTTTCAGTTTGGATTAATCTATCAATGTAATTTATTAGATAATCCTTCCTTGTTTGATTTCTTCCTTTTCCTTTTACTTTAAGTTTTGATATTTCTTCTTCTTGTTCTGGTGTTAGTTCTATACCTCGTAAAAACAACTGAAATCTTATGTCATCTTCTTGAACGCTTTTATCTTGCCATTTTGTTATTTTTGTTGAATAATCAATTGTTTCTTTATGTTTTCTCGCTTGTCCTGGTGCTTTTGTAGTTTCATCATCATCTGCTGGTATTAATTCTGGGTCATCTTCAAAATCTTCCTCTTCTTCTACACTTTCATTATGAAAAGCGTTTATGAATAACTCCCTTGCATCGTCCATTGCTTTTGTATGTTCTGGTGTATCTGCATCAAATGATTTAATTTTTTCTTCTATTGTATGAAACTGTTCTTTTTGCTCTCCACTTAATTTTCCAATTTTATCAGCTAGTTTAAACATAGTCATTAATGTATCTCTTTTCATAAGTATAGGGCTAATACTAGACCAATCATTTAAGTTCATTTCGTTTAAATCAAATTTAATACCTGCCTTGACAGATGATTGTATTTTCATATCATCAAAAATTTTCATTATTTGTTGTGTATCGTCAGTTTCTTCTTCTTGTATAGGTTGTTGTTGTGGTGGTGCTGGTAATGATGGGGGGTATCCTTGATTACTTTTAACTGGAACATCCATTGAATGAACTGGAACACCCGCAGGTAAAACTTGACTATGAACATCACTTAAATCATTTTTAGCCATTTGACTAATTTCAAACTGTTGATTTCTAACTTGTTCTCTATATCTTTCAGTATCTCCTA